AATATTTAAATTTGTTTGATGATCTGAAACATTAAAGTGTGACAAACATGCAAAAAAAGAAGAAATCAGGAAGGGGGCCAACACTTTTTCACACCACTGTATATATATATATATATATATATATATATATATAATTTTAATAACACATTTTATATAAGGAAATAATATTTCTCGGCAGCTTATGGCAAAAATATGCTGAAGGAAATTACTTTCAAATGTGTTTTTCAAAACTAGGAGTGACTAAAGTGTGAGGTTTTTTGGCAGGTTACTTGAAAATGTAATGTTTTTCTGGCTGCTATGCAGTTATTCTTTTTGTTGTATTATTTCTAATTTGTCATTTTGGATGAATCGTTTACTAAATCAATAAATGTAAAGCACTGTTCACACCAAGAATGACTAGATCACTGAACAGATCACTGAAGAAAATTAGTGGCAAAAATTAGCATGAACAAACGTGAGCGAAACATACTAAAATAAAACAAAGCATTCGTTTGACGGCAAATGTTCAGTGTGATGAGTTCTATAGGGATGCATTGTTTTGTTTTAACCGTGTGGGAATTGACTGAAAATCTACGCTATGTGTAAATAGGCCTTAAATGTATGCAAATGAGTGTCTGTGACTCGGTGTGAATGAGTACATGAGGCTTCACAGTGCTGCATGGGAAACTTCTGCTTTACTTTATGACAGTGTCTCGACATCTGATCCTTCTTTATACCAATCCTGAAAATGAGTTATTAAAATGAACCAGCAGGTTATTATTCAGAGTGTTGTGAACGTTTTCTGATTTGAAATCTCCTCATAACTGATTGTTTTTGTCTTGCACAGGGGATTTTATTAAAAAGAAGTGGGAAGTCACTTAATAAGGAGTGGAAGAAGAAATACGTCACTTTGTGTGACAATGGTCTGCTCACGTACCACCCCAGTTTACATGTGAGTATGCCGTCTCCTCTGCTGTTAGAGATCAGATGTCTGATTCATTTTGCTGAATTGGTTCATTCTGATGATTCAGTTCAGATTCAGTAAACTGGTTCAAATAAATGATTCACTGATTTGTGTTTGGTGTAAACTCATGCATTCCGTGTCACACGTTTACCTACTCACCAACTTTTCACTCAGAAAATGCTAGTAAATTTCACAAATAATTATTAAGAATTGGCAAATAATGCATTGAATGAAACTTGAATTTTTAAAGCACAAAGACTGAAACAGTATTTTCTTGTAAAATGTAATCCAATCATCTTTGCTGTATTTACAACTTCAAAAATCATTTTTACAGTCTACTGTTAGATGTTGATTCATTTTCATAATATTCAAAATATGTCTTAAGTTCACAAAAAAAATGTAAATTCTAGGAAGTATTAGAATATACTTAAATACTTGCATATTAGAATAGAATTAAATACTATAAAATACTTAAATACCCAAAACCTTAATTATTAGAGTTGGTAACTAAATCATTCTTGAACCAAATGACAGTTTTTATGACATTTGTTGGATCAGGTAGACTAAAAAATATGATTTTTCAATTATTGTAGAACTTTTTACAAAAAAATACTATTTCAGTTTTTCTAAATGTAACTCTTAATTCAATTGTGTTAATTTCCAGTTGAACCAAATATTTAATATAATTCATTAAGAATTATTATAGTTCATTAATAATAATTTATGGATTCCAGATCATAAGAATTCTCAGAATGTTCCTAAAACGGACATCCTACTTTTTTTGCTTTTCATTTTATATACTTCACTGATTGTTGATATATGAAGATATGATTTTTCTTGGTTTTCTTCATCTTTGTTTTCGTGATTTTTTTTCTCTCTCTCTCTGTTTTTGACGAGGTTAGGCCTATTTTTTGTTTTGGATTTTGTAAAAATAATATTAAAAAAAAAAAGAACATCCTAAGGTTCTCTCATTATTTCATGTAAACAGAATGTTGCCTTTAGGTTTGGAGAATGTTCCTTTAACGTTCTCCTAACGTTCTTTTAACATCTGATTTGCTTTGCGGTCAAGTTATCAACAAACACTTTGATTCGTTTGAACACTTTTGCATAACAAGCGAATTGTTCACAAATCAGACCTCACATTCCAGTTAAAAGCACCATGAAATTGATTAAGACGTTGACGTGGCAGAACGTTTGGACGGGATAGATTGTCTAGCATGATTTAATGAAATTCAGATTCAGCGTGAGCGAATTTCTATTTCTATTGCTATTTCTGAGGTACTTTGTAGGTTTCCAATAAACACAGACGAGAGCCGGACAGGTCAGCTGCTCTCCGGTTGCTACAGCAGCGCGCGTTTCTTACGGCACTCCCCGCGGGAACTCCACAGTCCGTTCTGCGCGGAACATTCATCTCTGTCAGAACCCCCGCATGTTCTTAATACCTCTGAAAATCCCCTCTCTCTGCTTCTCCAGCTTTCTCACACGTCCCTTCTCCACCGCTCCCCTCATTTGCATACGTCGCACTCACGCCTATCTTTGTTCTTGCGTTTCTCCGACGCTTTTAACACAGGTTAGTAATTAATAAGGGCCTCCTAATTAAGATCCACTGGAGAAGCGTCGTACCTTGACCGTGCGAGATGCGTTACATGAGACACATTTAGCGGCCTCCGCGGACTATGACCGAAATTAATATCTTGGCCAAACTCACGTCTCTCACATCAACCGCGTGTTTATTAGCGATATAATGTGCATCTCATGCCAGCGATGTGTGTAATAGGCACGCGATGCCACGGGCGTCGTAATCGTTAGAGACGTTTGGGTTTGGACACCTGTGGACCACTCGTTTAGCTCAACGAGAAAGACGAGGAGAGAGAGAGACGGAAACGACGGTTTAATTTTGCGCCGCAGCCAGCCGAGCTATCCCACAATCCCCTTCTGTTAATTCTGTCTGCTACATCAATTAAATTGTTTGTAGAAACTAATTGAATATGGCTTAATCACACATCTTAATAGCTTTCTGCGCCTCAAACTGGCTGTTAATTCCAGCAATAAAATGGAATGAGAGCGCTCACTGGGTAATTAGTACTGAGGCTTTTGAAAAAATTAGTGCTTTATGGGGCGCAATAAAAGTGAAGAGGAGTTGGCGGGAGACTTCCAAGGCCGAAATCTCTGCTCGCCTCTTTTGTGCTGAGCAGGGTGATTTGCACCTTGGCTTAACCCATTTGCGCTTCGCACACTCCCATGAAAATGGAATAGCCCGATTTAAATGGGAATGAGTCTGCTCGCGGTCATTAATGCTAATTCTGCTAATCTGCGGCAGCGTGGAAACAGGTGAAATACTAGATTGCGTGGGCCTGGTGCTGCTTTGATTGTCCAAAGCTGCTGTGTTTGTTTTACAAGACCTGTAAAAAGTTTCTTTGGTAGGTTATAGATGCGCTGCACCTGTGCGCTGTTTGTTCGCATAAACTTTAGTCAAAGTTGGTGGCATGTTGAATTTGAGGCAAATGAAAATGAGGCAGTGAATGATAAAAGTGCAGACAGTTATACACTGGAAAGTTGATTTAGAAACAATTTTCTCTTAGAAATTGCTAATAGATTTCACAAATAATTACAAAAATGTGGCACATTTAGTAACATATTGACAATGTTGAGGTAGAAAGTATTTTAGAAATAGTCAAATACAATTTTCTTGTAAAACGTACAAGAATTTTTTTTTTTTTTTTAAAGTCTACTGTTAAGTGTAGATTCATTTTCAAAATATTGAAAATATGTCTTTTGTATATGTATAGCTAGAAATATTAGAACATACTTAAAATCTTGAATTTCAATACTTGCATTTTAGAATTGACTTAAATACCCAAAACCTTAATTACTAGAGTTGGTAACTAAACAATACTGCACCAAATGATTTTATGACAATTGTTGGTTCAGGTACACTGTAAAAATTATTTTGCAATTATTGGAGTACTTTTTACAAGAACATTTCATTTTTTTTCTACATTTAATGCTTAATTCAATGCATTACTTGCAATTTCTTTGTGAAATTTACTAACAATTTCTGAGTAAAAATGTTTTTACACCAGTTGTTTTCAGTGTAACGTGCATTCGTCCAAAAATGAGGCTGAAATGGTGTACTAAAATAGTCTTGTTTTTACTCATTATGTTGAATTGAATCGGAACTTGAAATGTTTAATTTTGAAACTTATTGAATGGATTCTGCCTTTTACAGCCTCGTACTCGTTCAAAGTGCGCCAAACTTGTGTTTACATTTAACATTTTTCCCGGCCTAGATCTAAAACTACACACTGTTGTATTTAATTTTTCAGGACTACATGCAGAATGTCCACGGTAAAGAAATCGATTTGCTGCGGACGACGGTGAAGGTGCCTGGTAAGAGGCCGCCCAGAGCGGTGGCGACGGTCGCCCCTACAGCCAGCCCCAAAACCAACGGACTGACCAAAGACCGCAGCACTTTACAACTCGGCATCGGGGCCACAAGTGAGTATGAACCCCGTCAGTGGTGTTATGCCTTAAAGATATTCTGAGAAGATATTCTGTGTACAGATTGTAGCAGCATTAAATTTGACATGAAATGGTGTTCAAAACCAATTTTCTTCTTTTTAATGTGACATTTGCAAGAATACTCAACAAAAAATGCAGCAGAAGTGTTTCTATATGAGTCAGCTGGGGGAATTGGTGATATCAGCCGAAATGGGAAGTTGTTTCAGAGGCGAAGCAAGTTATTACATTACGTTTTCATGGAAAATTGTGCATACAATTTTTTTTAAAGTAATGTGCAATAAAAATTGTTCACACTATGACAATGAATTGGTCACAAAAAAGTGAAGTACTAGAATATGATTGCATACTAGAAAAAAATTTAATATATTTAAATACTAGAAAATACTTAAATACCAAAAAACTACTAGATATACTAAATAATACAACAGGTAATATTTACATGCATTCTTCATAAAAATTCTCATGGAAAATTGCTAAGACAATTTTTAATGTGTAATAATAAATTGTTCACAGTAACCAAATGAGTATTAAAAAGTATGTTTTTATTGCATTTATAATGTATTTGTTTCAAAATGTGCTACAGTATTTTAAGTCAAAAACATTATAACATTCTAATTATTTATAATTATAATTATTTACTTAACAAGCCACAAATCAGGTTGTTTTTATTTAAACAAAAATTTCACTTTACTTAAAGCCTTTATGTATAATGCATTATAAAAATAGTTTTAATGCATTAATTATGCCTTGTAATGCACATTTTAATGCACTGAACAATCTCATGAATAATTGTAAACGCAATGAATACATTATAACACTTATCAGTTCATTGTTACATTATAATTATTTTAAATTTGGTTATAATTATTTATGACAAAGTATCATGTCTTACAACACGCATTATGAATAATTATAATGCATTATAACTTATAATAACCCTTTATTATGCATTATACATAAAGGCTTTAAGTAAAGTGTTACCAAATTTCAAATTCACGTTAAATTGATTCATTAAAATATGTCATAGTTCTTATAAATATTTAAAAAATCAGGAACTATTTGAGTAAACTGTCACTGATATCCGTTCAGAAAACTTATGTTAGGTTGTTTGCACTGCTGATTTTAATTTTTGGCTGAATTTGCTTTATTTTTGGCCTGCAAGAACCAGATTTACTCCGTTCTGATTTACAGGTTCTCGGTACTGAGAGGGAGTTTGGGAAGGTATAATTGGATTTAGAGAGCTGAGATCAAGTGTAATTAATAAAAAACAGGAGCAACTTTCTCCAGGGGCTCTGCAAGCTGGCACGACCGCTGTGGAAACATAACCGGCCAGGACCTCAGTATCACTTAGCTGGGGCTAATTGCTTTTGCACCATTAAAGACAGGTCAGCAAGGGCTTCTGGGAATTGCAGTTTTCTGGCTGGTGTCCAGTCTTGTGTTGAATAGGGACGAGGGTTTATTAGTCACAGAGACATAAGGAGCATTTGTCAGTGTTGCTGGGCCACATGAATCGGGTTGCTCGGAGAACCACAAAAGTTGATAATGCTTTCAGGTTGGCAACTAATTAACCTTCAGTCGACTGCAGAGGAGAGGGTGAACGTAAGGTTGAAAGGAGGAGAATTTTGGGGCATGCGGACCTGAAATAGTCGCAACATCTGGACCTGTTTTATTCAAGCTGCAGAAAATAGAGATTTCTGGGTAAAGAGCTCAAACGTGGCCTCAGGCAGCAGATACACACGAATAAGAGCATTAGTTAAGACTGGTTACATTTGTATTGAGGTTAAAAGCCTAGTTGCACATATGGATGTGATGTATCACAGAAAACCAACACGAAAAAGAAATGTAATATTTTTATATTTGATATTTTTTCTCAAAGCATATTTCTGGTTTTATTGTGCACAGTAATCCAAATAATTGTCTTCATAATCTTGCTATATATAAATATTATTATTCATTTTTCTCCAAAATTATTTTTAATTTAGTTGATAAAAATACAATTTTAGTTAGTAACAAAACTGAAAAAATGACAAACTGTAAACAAATAACAATTTTTAAAAAATGTTAAAACATTTAAATGTATCAAACTTTAAATATTTGTCTTCATAATCTTTCTATATATACATCTAATTAATTACTGATTTAATCATTTTTTACGTATTTTATTATTTTGATGTCTTTAAAGTTTACTCAATATTATTATTCATTTTACTCCAAAATTATTTTTAAATTTAGTAGATCAAAATACAATTTTAGTTAGTAACAAAAATGTGAAAAAAACACTGTAAAAAAAAAAAAATTCAAATATATTTTTCAAAAATTCAAAAAAAAATAACCGTTGAAACATTTAAATGTATCAAACTTTAAATATTTGTCTTCCTATAGATAAATCTAATTACTTACTGATGTAATTACAAATTTTTACATTTTTTTCTTTTAAATTTAATCAATATTATTATTAATTTTACTCCAAAATAATTTTAAATTTAGTTGATCAAAATACAATTTTAGTTAGTAACAAAAATGTGAAAAACATTTTTAAACATTTTTTTTTTTAATGTATGAAACTTTAAATTTCATTTTAAATTTCACTTTATCTACTTAAAATATCTATTATTGTTTAATGAATTCATCATGCTTTAGAAACCGTTATTAATTTTACATATTACACGTAGTGCATTTTCACAAGTTACACATTCTCACTAGTATGCAACTTAATTCAGATCCACCTATGGATGTTATATTACATTTATGTTATCGACTAATCCAATAATCTAATATTAAAACTAAAAATTTGAAGTTACGAGTTACAGAACAAAAAAACAACTAATATCAAATAATATTTTTGTCAGTAACTTAGTTGATTATAATAACACTGTCAACTTTTCATGATCTAGTCAATTCCTGACATAAAAATCAAGTGCCTTCTCCTTTTTCAGTCGGTTTAGTTTGGAAATACATCACATTTAGGAAGTAAAATGGGTTGTGGATGGGATTTCATGTTGATTTCAATCATTGAAGCCAAACCAGTTTTGACGTTTTGAACTATTTTTATAGGAGTGTCTATACACGAGGCGTTTATCTTATGTTTTTACATGTTTTATACCACATTTGCAGTTCTGAGATGGCTTTTTATTGGTGTTATTTTTCAGATACGCCATTTGACCTTCGGTTTAGCGCAAATTGACGCCGGAACGCTCGGGTCCCGATCTGACACGGGCCGTTTTCCCCATTTCCCTTTTCTACTCTGCGCCGTATTAGAGGAAAATTGTGTTAATTTCCACTCGAGAGGGAAAGGTTACGATTCGCAGTGGGCCTCCGCCGAGTGGAGGACGTACACTTGATTATGCAATCTGATTTTGATTTCATTAGGCATGCAATTGATGCGAGGGAACAAAGGGGTAATTTTTCATTCGTAGCGGTCTAGCTGAGCCCTGTCTTTTTCTGTAGTCTGTAATTCATACACTTCCCTCTGATCTAAAGACCATTAGGAACTCTGGGGGGTGTGTGGGATTGAGGAGATGAGGGGGGGTGAGGATGAGAAAAAGAAAGAGTGAGGGAGTGAAGGAGCGCAAATGAATGAACGCATGTGTCTCGATGAGGCCCGGTCTAATCTTTCTGCTAAGTATTCACCGGAACCATTTTAAATATGATCATTCTGCAAGCGTGCGTTCAGTTGTGTCACCGCTGACAGATATATAATATCAAAGCGCTAATGGGCCTGCCTATCAGCTTTAATCAATGACATCTGCTGTAGAGGTGTGTGTACGAGAGAGATTCACACCGAGCTGCTCGTGTTCATTTATGTGTAGTACACAGGATTCAGATGAAGGCGTGAACCAAGATGTACCTTGTGCAGTGATAGACTTGATATATATGCGATATTCAGTCATCTTGAGATGGTCGCAATGGCCGATAAATGTGAAATGCAATGAGAAAATTTGGCTGAATAGAGGAATTTTTCCTGCATTTTGTCAGTTTTTAAATTTATCGGTAGCTTTGTCAATGGATAGTGCATGCCTGTCTGTTTTCAAATAATTTTTAGAAATATTTTTTTCCTTTTTTTTAGACTTGATAAACCAATGGATTGGCTGATATTTGGTTATTTTAGAGATGATCGTAGTGGCCAATAACTGCACAGTTGGCTATACAAAAGAGTTTTTTCCCGCCATTTGTCAGTTTTTTAAATCTACCGGCAGTTTTGTCAGTGGGTAGTGCATGTTGTCTGTTTTCAAATAATTTTTTTTTTAATTATTTAGTTGTGATAATCCAATAAATTAGTTGACATTTGGTTGTTTTAGAGGTGATCACAATGGTTGAAATCTTGCATCTTTGTTGATAGATAATGCATGTTTTCTGTTGTCAATAAACCAATAAATCAGCTGATATTTGGTTATTTTAGAACTGATCACATTTGCTGACAACTGTTCATTTGGGTGAACAGAACTTGGTTTTTCTCGCTGGTTTAAAAAAATATACTGGCAGCTTTGTCAATGGATAGTGAATATTTTCTGTTTTCACATATTATTTTTATTTTATTTTTTATTTTTTTATTTTTTCAAGCATTTTAAAGAGAGGCTGATAAATCTTCTAGTATTTTGTTATTTCAAATTATCGCTTGACTGATAAAAGTCCAATTGCCAATTTAAAGAAGTGTTCATTCTGCCATGCGTAGGCTACATTTTAAATGTACTTTTTACAATTTAATAGTGCAAATAATCAGTTTTAAAATACTTTAAGCATTTTTGTTTTGGTGAATTTCATTAATGTTACTGTCATTTTCTTTGTGCCGTTGGTTGAGGTAAATGCAAATGGCACTAATATCTAACAGGTCACTAACTTATTACTGTTTAAAAAGTACTTGTATACAAAATTAAGCAAGTTTAAAATGCTTTGGCTGTTGAAAAACTCCTGACCACTACAGTTTAGTAAGTACTGTGAGAATATACATCTTTTTTATGAGATATATATATTGGTTTTATAATGGCTACCCTTCTATCTAGCCATCCACATCAGCATCAACCAAATTTTTCGCCTCCAAACCTGAAGTCAATCCCAGATCCCTCTAAATGAACAATGTTGATGTGTTTGTGTGTATGAATGTCCTCATCCAGCACTTTTATGATTGAGTCTCCTTTAAGGACACTTTACCACATACGTTAGTCTCATGACAGTCTCTTTCAATAATGGCACAATCATTTCGGATGCTCTTTTATATGTGTGAAGGAAATAAGATGTTTTGTACATCGCAAGTCTTTCTAAAACACTTTCAGATGCTTATTATCCAATACACTGCTTGAAATCGAATGGATGCCATTTCTGCATTCGATGAGCTTGAGTCATACGCTCTCAAAGTTGTGGCTGGAGATATCGGTTTATTGGTTGTCGCGACATTTCCGTCAGACCTGCCGTATTTCGAATGTTGAGATCATTGCAGTTTACGCAAACGGACACAATGTAATCCGTACGTATTTCCACTCAGAGGCGGTCCATCCAGGCAGCTGTCAGTTTGTAAGGGCGTCTTCGGTGCCGTTTCGCCTTGACCTGAACAGCAGATGATCTAACGGCCCCCCCTCCACCCTGACCCCTCCCCCGCCCTCTCCTCCACATTAGCATGGATGCTTCATTATCTCCGCACTTGTATATAATGGCAGCAGCGGCTCAGAGGGTCAGGGCTCGCTCCACGGCTCATCAGCCATCTGACAGCGCTCGGCGAGAGAAACGAGGAGAGATGAGGAGAAATCATCGCCCACCCCCTGCTAATCCATCGCTTCTACTTAACACCACAACCTCAGGCCTCCCTTCGCTAGGACCCTAATACTTAGCCTAATAGCATGTACGGATAGCAAGAAAAGAGCAAAGGAGATTGGGGTGTTATTTTCTATACCATCTGATAATGATTTGACCGTTTGTACATGCATGCAAAACAGAACCGTTAAAGCACATAGTTATCAAGTTTAGTGGAACATTCGTCTTTAAAGGTGTAGAGTACAGTTTCTTTGACACTAGTAGCACCAAACAGAACTGCAAAAATAACTTGATCATGTTCTTTGAAGAAAAAAAAATAGTGTTATCTATTAATATTTTGATATTTTATAGTATTAAGCTGATAGATGGATGGATGGATGGATGGATGGATAGATAGATTTTTTTATATTTCATTGAATTTTTTATAGATAGATCCTATTTATGACATTTAATTTAAAATATGTAATTAATATCATAAATACATAAATTACATTTTGATAGATAGATAGATAGATAGATCTAATTAAAATATGTAATTAATATCATAAATACATAAATTACATTTTGATAGATAGATAGATAAGGTGCGTCCCAAATCACGTATTTATGCACTATTCTATGACTTTTGTAGTATAAATAGTGCGAGTAGTGAGTTCACACTGAAAATTCCTAAAAGAAAAATACCCAGATGATGCACTTAAATAACTGAAAAAAGAAGTGTGGAATGTTGGACACTTCATGCATTCAACTGTCGCAGCTTTATTACGTCGCAAATGGGGAGGGGCTATCAGATTCCAATTATTAATGACAAAATAACCTTATAAAATTCATACACTACATGGATGAGTACATAGTGCATACGTACATAGTGTATAAGTGCATAGTGTATAGTGCGTCATTTGGGACACAGTTATAGGCTATATATTTAGATATATTTTCATAGATAGACTTTCTATATTTATTATGACATATAATATTAATAGTAATATTACTGATTATATTTAAATGCATAAATTACATAAATATATTTATGTGATTTCATATTATAAATACATAATATTATAATATAATGAAAATATATGATGAGATATAATGCATATTATAGTATATATTGTAAATACATAAATTCCAAAAATATGTTAATTATATAATTTATGTATTTATAATATGATTTATAATATATTAAAGATTAACAGTACAATAAATGTTATATATTATATATTATGTATAAGTATATAAAAATTGATAATACATTTAATAGAATTATAATATACTATATAGTAAATGCACTTAATTTATTATTATCATATTTAAAACATTAACAATTTCAATTTTATTTTTAGATTACATATCTATATTTTAGTCTGCAGTGTCCTCATCATCAGTTAGTGGGTTATAACACATTTAAGTACATTGCTGCAGGTTTTTATGAGCATTAAAGAAACATCATTGATACTCCAATGGGTTTATGAACACATAGTTCATAAGCAATTTGCTCCAAAACAATAATTACCTCTTCTGCAGGATGCCAATATCGTACGGCATTGATCCGAGTAATAGCGGCGTCTTATTTTATTCATTGGTGAGGGATCTAGTCAGGGGCAATATTATGACAGAATTAATAAAATCTTCTCTTCAACAATACTAGTGTGATTACATGTCTCCGAACAGACAAATATAAGAATAACCCTCTATTCTTTCAATTACTCACGAATTACTACTGATTGTGTCAAGGCGCTTTTTTTGCCAGGCACCAAAGTAAACTGCGAAGAACAGACTCTTGTTAGCCTAATGCGTCCTAACCATTAGCGAGAGTAATAAGTGTATCAAATTCACATAATCATGTCTAATTAGTATCAGTAATTATCTTGTTGGGTGCGAGAATATTAATCTTGCGGTCCCCATAGGGGAAGGGCGTCTCTTGCAGGGAGAGAGCGATAGAGCTTCAAGCTCACGCTGTGGAGTACTTGCTAAATTAGCATGCTCCAAATCAGCGCTGCGGAGGGAGGGGAGCGAAGGAAACGTGTCGGAGAAAAAGACAAAATTGCATAAAGCGAAAAACAACAGAGAAAAGTTTAGTCCCACTGTGAAATGCATTAGAGCCTAGTAAATAAAATATCAATGTTTTCTGTGTGCTTTCCAAGTTTTTTGTTGAAGTGCATGTGGGTAAAACTTTTAAATGGATTGCGTGATGCGGTTTACGTTAACGCTTAAGAAATCGTTCCGATGCATAGACAAAATCATATGTCTACTGTTTCTTTAAAGCCTCAGGAACGGCCGAAGCATATAAACAGCCCATTACAAAATGTAATTTTAGTAATGTGCTGTATTTTAAACATTTCAGTAAGAATAGGCTAACGGCAATATGAAACCAATTTGAAAATGAGCTGAGAGCAAACAATGTTGGATCTTAAAGAAGAAACAGGCAAGAAAAAATCATTACATAGGTATCCATCTGAACCTGACCTTGAGCCTGGAATGTGGAGATTTAAAGATGATCCATCGTCTCCATCAAGCAGGGCGCCTGTTTTTCAGAAACAGGAGGAAAGGACCCCATGCGACACGGTGGGGCCGGTGAACCCGCTGATTGAAGCCAGGGAGGGCCGTCAGCACAGCCACTGCCGCCGGGAGAGATGGATGTGTCAGGCGGAGAGTGGGGGAGAGCTAATTACCGTTCCGAGTGTATCTTGTTAATTAAGGGCTAATTAGTGGCAGAAACGCAGAGGGAGCAGGGTGAGGCGCTGACTGCTCATGTAGCACGGAGAGACGAGCGCGGCGATCAGATACAGAATATATACGCAGAATCTTTACTGTAACTTCTTTAGTCCCGCATGTGGTTGATACTTTATGGTTCTCATCTTGTCTATAGGAAAATGGTGGTTCTGAGATTGTTTGCTGATTGGCTTCAGGTTTTAGTAATAACTAAAACATAGTTTTGCTATAGATTTTTTTACACGTACTATGGTAATTTTGACTTGTGATGTGAAGTATGATTTACATTTACAAAAACTGAAGTAACTGTGGTGTTTTTGGCAGAAACTGGTGGATTTTTGTTAAAGGGATAGTTATCCCAAAAATTCAAATTCTGTCATTTACATGCCTTCATTTTGTTCCAAACCTGTATGAGTTTCTTTTTTCTCCTGAACACAAAAGAAGACATTTTGGTGACCAAACACTGACGGTACCCATTGACTTCCATAGCATAGAAAAAAATACTGTGGAAGTCATCGGCTACCCTCAACTGTGTACTATCCCTTTAAATCGATTAGCTAATTATAAACGACAATAATTCCTTGTGGTGTCATGTAAATACCATGGTGAATGAATATGGTAGTCATTTAGTACTACAGTATACGTTTACAATTAGCAGATGCATTTATCTCAAAGTGACTTACATTGTGTTCAAGGTATACATTTTATCAGTTCGTGCATTCCCTGGGAATCGAACCCATGACCTTGGTGTTGCTAGCACTGTGCTCTAATGTTTGAGCTCTAATGTTGTTGTTTTTGGCCTTATTGCCACATTTATTTATAAAGATAGTAGTGAGAATGGGTGGATTATATGTGGAAACCGTTGGGCCATAGCTCCAACATGCCGTGCACGCTCAGGAAAAAAAAAAGTCCAAAAGCTGTCACTGGGGCTGTACTCTTTCAAAAGGTGCTAATATGTACCATTTAGGTACTACTTTATACACTTTAGGTACTAATATGTATCTTTAAGGTACTACACTCCCAGAAAAAAGGTACAAAAGCTGTCACTAGGACGTAGTACCTTTTCAAAAAGTATTTTAATAAGGCACTTTTGTACCTTATTTACCCCTAAAGGGTGCATATTGGTACCATAAAAGTTACATGTTAGTACCTTTTCAAAGGGTACTGCCCCAGTGACAGTTTTTGTACCTTTTTTCTGAGTGTACTATATATACTTTTGGTGCTAATATGTACATTTAAGGTGCTAAGGTGCATTTAACATACACACAAAGGTCTGTGAAATGTGATTTGAACGTCTCTCTAACTGAATCTCTCTCTCTCTCTCTCTCTCCTCGTCTGGCAGGCACTCCTCACTCTAACAGCAGCAGTTCCCTGCAGTCTGGGGGCTCGGCGGCTGGCGTGGCTTTGGGAACTAGTAAAGAGGGGATGCACCAGCGCTCGTTCTCTGTGTCCAGCGCAGAACAGTGGAGCGAGGCTGTTATCAGCACCACGGCAGGTCAGAGGAAAAGCCAAGAAACTTGTGCTCTACCTAACTACAGACACTTCCCTTTTTAATTTCTGTCTCAAATCAGTCTTTTAATTTATGATATGTTTAAAATTCAACCAGGTTTTTTTCTTGACAGTTGTTTTTCGCATTGCTTTGATATTTACAGCAGATTTTAGGTCGTACTTCAGGGTCACTGATGGTGGGATTATGCACCAGTTGTACCAAATTAGTACAATAACATGCAATGAATGCATCAATACCTGTGATTTTTAGTATATAATTTCTATATTTCTATATAATGCACAATGGTAATTGGCCAAAAGACTTTAGTTTTTAGTATTTAGTCATAGTTGTGTAAACTTCAATAGTAGTGAACGGAAACTATAACAAATATAACTTTGCCCAAATAGCTAATTAAATCCATGATTTTTCCATGTCCATTTTTATGACTTTCCAAAAAGAGTAAAAACATATCAAGAGATTGATTATGTTGGTCAGAAGAGAGAAAAATGTCACTTCCAATCACTTCCTCAGCTGTTGTAAAGAAACACACAAGTTTTCTGTAATTTAATGCCAAGATAATAAAACACCAAGTATAGTGTTATAAACATACAGTACAGGTCGAAAAGTTTGAAAGCAGTGCTTTTCAACATTGATAATAATAATGAATTTTTCTTGAGTAGCAGATGAGCATATTAGAATTATTTCTGAAGGATCATGTGACACTGAAGACTGGAGTAATGATGCTGAAAATTCAGCTTTGCATCACAAGAATAAATTACATTTAAAAATATATTCAAATAGAAAATATTTATTTTAAATTCAAATAATATTTCACCATTTTTACTGTATTTTTGATCAAATTCAGCCACGGTGAGATGAAAAGATATTTAAAAACATTAAAAAGTCTTACAGATCCCAAACTTTTGACTGCTAGTGTACATTACATCTTTAAAAAATGAAAATACAAAAACTGCTAGATTAAAAATGGTAATAACTGGAAATGCATCATCGCAGTCCATAAAAAAGTTAATTGTGAACAAAATCCACCCCAGCAAGCTTTCATTCAACTACCTCTATTTTTGAATGCAACGCCCACATCTCAAAATCCAATCAACAACCGATGCATAGAGCCAAGGCCCGCCCTACATTATTTTTGCTTTCCAATAATTAGACTCAGATGAACTTATATGAAATAAACATATACACAATAATGAATAAAAGATCCATTTCATCGCAACTTTAAACCAGTCAGAATAATTCAGCAACTGCTCTTTGTTTGCGACAAACTGAAGGTTTTTAATATGTTATTAGTCTATTAGTAGTAGTAACTGTAGAAACTATGGCACTTTTGTTCATTACTTGTATCAGTGGTTTTTGCTGTTAACAAGCCAATCGCTAATCAGGATAATTTGGTAATTGCAGCTTTTTAATGGCAACTCTGGTCCCGCCACCAACTGCAAATAGTCTCTCCATTTCGCCTATCATCTCTCTCTCTTTCTCTCTCTCTCGCTCTCTCTCTCTCTCTCTCCATCCTGTCAGTGCACTTGAGTGAAGTCAAATAATATATTTGCCGGGCATAACAACGCTGCACATTTTCCCCCCCGTCTTCACTACTTCTTTTTTTCCCCTCCCGCGTTGGAAAATGAATGCTTTACGGGGACAACATTCATCACTGGTTATTTCCCTCTCTTTGTCGGCTGGCAGTAAAAAAGCACTTAAATGCACATCAACAGAATAACAGTCATTTCCATGCATGTTTGCGCACTCGTCGTTCTCATTAGCAGCTGCTCTGTTTCTCCCCCCCGCCCTCGCGCTATCGCCGTCTCCGTTTTTGTCTCTCGCCCTCTCTCTCTCTTTCTCTCCTCCCCCCCTCCTTCTGTTAGGGTCCCAGGGGCCCCGCTAGTTTAAAGAGCGCTCTTTATGAGCAAAATGGAGGCCCCGCCGTGTGGCCCCGTGGTGTCGCAGACAGAACACGATGCCGCGCGACACTCGCCCTTCTCTGCTCGTCTCTGCTTGTCGAACAATCAATTTCAGCCCCGCTCCGCCATCGGCCCCCCGTCTACACCCATCAGCTCCACATCCTAAAGCAGAATTACTCAAAGCGGCCATAGCCGCAGAATGAGCTGCATATGTGTGTGTGTGTGTGTGTGTGTGTGTGTGACAAAGCACTTCATTAGGCCCTGGTGTAAAATAGTTATTGTCACACAAGCACACATACTCAGACTTTTAGCTGTATCAGGATTTGGTGGATGCATTTTCTCTATGACCTGTTACCCATCAGCCTCTCGGTTCTTGCGTTTACTGAGAGTATTATAGCTTTACAGGTCATAATGGAGATAATAGAGTTTTATATCGGAGATCTTGGGAAAGTGCACACCTAGAGAAAACCTCATTTGTTGGGTGGAAGATTGCAGGTTTTCTTTTCTGTTTTGTCGTTGTTCTTGTGTTCATGTGTTCTTGTGTTCATGTGATGTGCATTGGGGTATGGTTAGACATGCATGCTGAACTAGTTGTACAACAACTGACTAGTTGACTAGTGAGTAGGTCGCTTTGATATTTAACTACTTATTTTAATGTCAGATACTGATCAGCCAGTAATTATGTTCATACTCTGGCAAATAAACAACAAATGGCTGATTCTATGCTATTTTGTCTAAATAAATTAAAAATAAAGCACACACACAAAAAAAAATCTAATTAAATGCTACAAGGGAATCAGAACCAGGAAAATTCAAATTTACAGTATACAAAATCAAATGTAATTGATGAATTACATTTAACTAAAGACGGAAATCTATGACGATGACGGAAATCTAAATGTAAAAATAGAAAAAATAAGCATGCACAATTAAATTTCCAGTATCAATATATTGGCCGATACTGGAAATTTAATTGAAATTTAAGATATCGTTACCTTTTTTTAGTGCTAGTGTTATAAGGATGAATTTAGAGATGTAAACTAGAATTTCCAGTATCAATATATTGGCCGATACTGGAAATTTAATTGAAATTTAAGATATCTTGTTACCTTTTTTTAGTGCTAGTGTTATAAGGATGAATTTAGAGATGTAAACTACCTTTCAAATGTTTGGAGTTGTTTTTGCTCACCAAATCTGCATTTATTTGATTAGAAATTCAGTAAATTGTAATTTATAATTAGTAAAATATTATTATAATTTAAAAGAACTCTTTTCTATTTTAATATAGTTAATAATTTAATTTATTCCTTTGATGCAAAGTCGAATTTTCAGTCTTCAGCGTCACATGATCCTTCAGAAATCCTTCTAATATGCTGATTTGCTGCTCGGGAAACATTTCTGACCATTATCAATGTTGAAAACAGTTGTGCTGCTTCATATTTTTGTGGAAACTATGATACATTTTTGTTTTCAGGATTCTTTGATGAATAGAAAGTTAAAAAAAATAGCAATATTTTGAGATAGAAATCTTTTGTAACATTTAAATGTCTCGTTTGATCAATTTAATGCATCCTTGCTGAACACAAGTATTAATTTATTTTATAACAAAATCTTACTGACCCCAAACTTTTGAGCTGTATTGTACAAAAGAAGATACAAAAGTTTTTATCTATACAATACAAAACATTACACCTCATTGACTTTCATTGCATGGAAGAAAATTATCTTTTGTGTCCCATAGAAAACAGAAAGTCATGCTGGAACGACATGTATCTGCAACTGCGTATCATCAGGAATGTTTTACGCAAATTCATCTTTGATGCCTATTTAGGTGTTAAACAGATCTTAAGCAAGCCCCAGTCATGCCATTATCCTTGTCAAGGGTTGAAGGTCAACCAGCAAATCAGGACTGTTGAGATGAGCAGCGGTAGATTGATAATCTTCTCAAACAGTAACTATTTCCATATGATGTGAGTGTTGTTCTCTCTCTAAGCTACAGCCTCTGAATACTGATCCTTCTGATTAAATCTGCACTCTGCTCTTAGTTATATGATATCTGTGCTGCACATGCTAGAGAGTGTCTGCGGTGTGTGTGTGTTTTGGAATTGTATTTTCAGCATGTATCAAACATCTCTTAATTATCTTGTGTACTTCACTAGTGTTTTGTTTTGTACAGTTTTATAAAGGAACTGGGTTTTTACATTTTCTGAAAATGCAGTTGCTAGGGTGTTCAAGGTGGTTACCAGGGTGTTGCTAAGGTGTTCTGGTGGTTGCTAGGTAGTTTTCATACTCTGTTGATTAGTTTATGCATTCCACATTTGTTCTGATTGGTTTCTATTTTTTTTTTTTTTTTGCAATTTGCTAGGCTAGGGTATTCTGGGTGGTTACCGGGGTGTTGCTAGGGTGTTCTGGTGGTTGCTAGGTAGTTTTCTCACTCTGTTGCCATTTTATGCATAGAATCCGCTTTTCCACATTTGTTCTAATTGGTTTCTGTCATGTTTCTATGCAGTTGATAGAGTGTTCTGGGTGGTTGCTTGGGTGTTGCTAAGGTGTTCTGGGTGGTTGCTAGATAGTTGTCTTACTCCATCAATCATTTACAGTGGTTGCTAGCATGTTGCTATGCAGTTGCTAGGGTGTTCTGGATGGTTGCTTGGGTGTTGCTAAGGTGTTCTAGGTTGTTGCTAGATAGTTGTCTACGCATTTGTTCTGGTTGGTTGCTAGCATGTTGCTATGCAGTTGCTAGGGTGTTCTGGATGGTTGGTTGGGTGTTGCAAAGGTGTTTTAGGTGGTTGCTAGGTAGTGGTCTACGCGTTTGTTCTGGTTGGTTGCTAGCATGTTGCTATGCAGTTGCTAGGGTGTTCTGGATGGTTTGTTGGGTGTTGCTAAGGTGTTTTGGGTAGTTGTCTACGCATTTGTTCTGGTTGGTTGCTAGCATGTTGCTATGCAGTTGCTAGGGTGTTCTGGATGGTTTGTTGGGTGTTGCTAAGGTGTTTTGGGTAGTTGTCTACGCATTTGTTCTGGTTGGTTGCTAGCATGTTGCTCTGCAGTTGGTAGGGTGTTCTGGGTGGTTGGTTGGGTGTTGCTAAG